CACACACCTTTTCTCTTTTTCCTGTCAATTCCTCACAAATTATTGTCTTTGTCCAAAATATATAAGACTGCAAAAAAACAAAACAAAACAAAACAAAACAACCTGTCTGCCTTGGCCATTGCTTTGGGCTTAAATTCATTAGTGGGCCTACCTGCCTATGTAATAAAACTTTGAGGGTTGTTTTTTTTTTTTTTTTTTTTTTTTTTTTTTTTTTTTTTTTCCTCCTGTTAACCTGTCTCATGTCAATTAAATTCTTAAACCAGTTGGAAGAATTTTGGAGGAATGAGGATATTTCTTCCTCCCTACAAAACCATTGCATTTTTACTACAAAGAAGTTTATGTATCAAAAACAGAGCACACCTCAGCATATGAAAGTAAATTTTATTTTAAAAGGTAAAACTTTCATGCAACTTTTAAACATGAACATTCAGGGGCACCTGGGTGTCTCAGTTCACTGAGTGTCTGACCTCAGTTCAGGTCATGATCTGATGATTTGTGGGTTCAAGACCCACATTGGGCTCTGGGATGACAGCTCAGAACCCGAAACCTGCTTGAGATTCTGTGTCTCCCTCTCTGGTCTCCCCCACTCACACCCTGTCTGCCTGTCTCTCTTTCAAAAATAAATTTTAAAAAATTAAAACATGAACATTCAAAAGTTATTAAGCAACTTAATCACACACTGTTGATTAGAGCAGGGATTAAAGAAGTAGTTTCGTCACCAGCGTAAACACTAACAGAATTCGTCACAACTTGGATCTCCAGTGATTCAAGTGTTTTACCCCACAAAATAAGATGTGATCAACTTTAGAATAAAATACATTTCCTGGATATTCTGTTATCAGTCAAGGCCTTCTTCATCACCATCATCTCACACGATAGGAAAGCTGGCCCTGGTGGCGATTCCACAGTTGTTATTCCGGTCTCTGGCCATTTTTATGTAGCCACCCATGCCCCAGTCAGTGCCCCAGCTGAAAGAAGACAGGGTTTTCCAACTATTACAAACAACCGAAAACATACATCTTTTGAACAATAGCAGCCAGTATTGAGCAGTGCACCAGAGGCCAGGGCAGATTCAGGAAGAATCAGGAGAGGCCGTTCTTGTTCATGGTTGAGTTCTAACCCAGCACAGACATTTCACAAAACTGCAGTGTGAACAGGAAAAGGAAACCCTTGGGACCTGGGTGTGATATAGAATATTGAAAAACTTCCAATTTAGAAATACAGTGGTACCAAAACTATATCAGGACCCTAGCAAGCCTGAGACAGTATCTTAATGTTGTCATCATATGAATATGTCTGTGCTCCCCCCTAGATGGGGTAAACACTGCTGGGATTTCAGAAGTGTGCTCAAGGGTTGGGGGACCTGCGTCCAAACACTGGTTCCAAAAAACATTCCCTTTTCAAATTCAAAAGTACGTATTCCTCGATTTTCATACCTGTTCTTGACAAACCAATATTTTTGGTTATCGGATTCTTTTCCTTGAAAGCCATAGCCA